AAACTTTAACTTTGCAAAAGATTTGGGATGCAATTCAAGAGTTATTGGTAACTTGGAGAATTGACAAGAACATAGAGTTTATACCAGAAAAAAATGAGGGAGGTGGAGTTCCAAAAACTGAAGAGAAAAAGGAACACAAAGATAAGAAAACTAATGATTTGATTTCTGAACTGAAAGGGGTTGAAAGTGAAAAAAAATGCTAATTTTGCTGCTCGGGAGCTTAATGTCTTCGTGTTTCAAAGCTCTGTAACTAAAAGTGATAAGAGTCAAGGCCATAAATTGTTTACCACAGCTGTCTCTTGAGAGCCTTATCCGTACTGGGAGAAGGAAAAAAAATGGAACCTCTCTCTTGTGAATATTAAAGCTACCGCAGCAGTAATTTACAATTTGGAAACATGGATCAATTTTCAGAAGAGGAAACTTTAACTTTGCAAAAGATTTGGGATGCAATTCAAGAGTTATTGGTAACTTGGAGAATTGACAAGAACATAGAGTTTATACCAGAAAAAAATGAGGGAGGTGGAGTTCCAAAAACTGAAGAGAAAAATGAACACAAAGATAAGAAAACTAATGATTTGATTTCTGGAGTGAAAGTGGTTGAAAGCGAAAAAAAATGGGAGAATGGAGAGGGGAACTCGATGGTCTGGAGCTCTACCCCAATTTTCAAGACACAAAAGAAGAAAAAAGAGAAAAAATGATGGTTTTAAAGAGAAAATTTTTATCAGAAGCATGACTGATAATCAAAGATAAATTAATTAAAGTAGCAAAAGGGCGCCGAGATTACCTGAGAGATGCAACAAGCAATGAGATGCGGAGAGATGTCCATAAAAACTTTACCAAGGAAATAAACAGAAGATTAACTCCACAAATGGCAAAAGAAGTAAGACTATATGCCTTCTGGAAGGACACAGGTTGATATATGAAAATTGATAATAAAAAAAATAGCTAAGTTTGATGATTAGTAAGTACGAATTTAGTAATTTTTAGATTGCTTTGTTAAATAAATAGTTGATAATGGTAACAAGGTACATTTCTAAGTTGGCTGGAGGTGAAGAAGTTGGATATAAGTAATAAATGATTTCGTTAACAAATATTAATGATAACAATAATAATGAAATGATAAGAGGGGGGACTTCCGGTGGGCAGGGCCTGACAGGGGGTTGTTATTCTTAACAGCTCTCGAATCTTGGCATCGTTAAGCTGTTTAAACAGCAATCCATCAAGCTGTTTAGCAGTTTGTTTACCCCCTCTTTGGGCCTAGAAGAGGGAGGTGAGAAGCTATGCATGGGAAGCCCTCTAACTAATCCTCTCAGTCTAAAACCTGGGAGGAAGGGGGAGGGCACTGGCAGCATAGCAGCTCCGCACCAGGAATTATTCTGCCTTTTGTTGCAGAACCAAGGTCTTCGCTCATCCTCAGCACAATGAATGATTTACTGCGGATTTCAAGTTGAGCTGAACCAATATTTGCGAACTTCTAATTGTATGTATAAATCCTTAGCTCCATTTGTAAAGAATTCCTTCTGATAATTACTTGCTGAAAGATCTACAAAAATGGCACCGAGCTGTGTAGGAGCTGCGTAGGAGGGGCGAGACTTTGATAGCATTCTTGTGAAGCCTAGAAGTGTCTTATTATCAAGAAGTGATTTATTACAAAACCAAATAGCAATTGCTGTATAATTGGACTGCTTGGACTTTTTAATTGACTAAAGAAGATTAAACTTGAGATGGCTTCTAAGCAAAAATTTCCCCCTCCTCCCCCCGCGTCGAAAAGTTCCGGGAATTCTCCAGCACCCTGTACTAAATTAAAGTGATTACTTCCTCCTACTTCTGCAGGGGACCCCTTAACAAGAGAAATTTTGCAGAAAGAATTAATTGATGCGTTAAAAAATCATGCTGATACGATGGAAGTAAAANAAAGACAGACATTTCCACCCACTTTTGGGTGGGGGGAGTGTGTCTTATAGTGCAAAAAATACAGTATATGTTTGCTGACTAACACACTTTGGATTTTGCATAAAAAAGCAAGATGCTTCTCTCTGTCCCTTGTTTGTGTCTTTTTTATCCATTAACATGCCATTATCTTAAATGGCTAGGAGGGAAGAATAAAATGATTAGTTGATAGAAAAGATATGAGCAAACAAATAAAAGCAAATAAAGGCACCCGATGTCACGTTCATATGTATTTTGTATGCATTTTCACCTGTCATCTCTTATTTTCAAACCTATTACACCATCTGGAATAGGGCCACAGGCACATGACTGCGCCCACTTCATCACGGTACCAACACAGCCAAACCAAGGCAGGCAAGCAATCTTGGCCCAATTCATAGCATGGGACAAGTAACTGCATGTCCCAGCAGCAAATCCACGCACCAGAGGGTGGGCCATAGCCTTCTCATTGGATACAGTCCCGCCAGCTTAGCTTTCCAAAGTGGAAACTGAAAAGGTAGTGGAGCAAATGTGTTTTTTCCTGGCAAGAAGCAAAATAATATGACTCGCCGCGCTTTGTGTGCAGAGATCAGATCAGATTTGATCAGGGAAGTGACTGCAATCCCAAAATTATTCAGACTCTGAAGGTATCACTGCCCTGATATGATCACTGGGTGGGGGCAGAAAGTAGAAGAGTAGGAGATGCCTGATATTTCAGGTGGATTTCAGTTTCAGGTATATCCTTTCTCTCCCCCTCCCTCCAGTGATCACATCAGGGCAGAGATGTGTTCAGTGTCCTAAATAATTTGGGGGTTGCAATCACTGCCCTGATCGAGTCTGATCTCATTAATTCTGACAAGGAG